GCCTGGGCAACAGAGCAAGACTCCAACTCAAAAAAAAAAAAAAAGGAAATAGAAACTCATCATGTGAAATATTGCTTTGAAACATGTAGCCATCAACTGAGTCTTAAATACAATATATATTTAGTTTCAAAAAATTCTCATTTTTTAATTTTTTATTGACAAATAGTTGCATATATTTACAGGGTGCAATGTGGCCTTTTGAGATATGTATACAGTAGTCCCCTACATTCCAAGACTCCCAGTAATACACAAAACCATGGATAGACAGAATCCCATGTATAGTATCTTTCTTTCATATATATATACCTATGATAAAGTTTAATTTATAAATTAGACACAATAAGAAATTAACAATAATAAATAACAAAACAGAACAATTATGACAATATGCTAGCATTGCAACTCTTGTGCTTTTGGGGCTATTAAGTAAAATAAGGGTTACTTGAGCACAAGCACCGGGATACAGCAACAGTTGATCTTATACCCAAGACAACTAACAAGTGACTAACAAGTGGGTAGCATATACAGCATGGATATGCTGGACAAAGGGATGATTGACATCCTGGTTGGGAGAATTTTATCATGCTACTCAGAACAACATGCAAATTTAAAACTTTTGAGTTGTTTATTTCTGGAAATTTCTATTTAATATTTTTAGATTTCAGTTGCCTGTGGGTAACCAAAACCTCAGATAGCAAAACATGAATAAGGGAAGACTATTGTATATAGTAGAATGATTAAATCAAGGTAGTTAACGTATCCATCATCTCACCAACTTACTATTTTTTGTGGTGAGAATATTTAAAATCTATTATTTAAGCAATTTTGAAATACATGGTATATTGTTATTAACTATGGTCACCATATACTACAATAGACCAATAAATCTTATTCTTCCAGTCTAACTGAAACTTTATACCCTTTGATCGAAATCTCCCTTTTCTCCATCTGTCACCAGCTCCCAGCCTCTGGTAACTGCCTTTTTTTTTTTTTTTTTTTTTTTTTGAGACGGAGTTTTACTCTTGTTACCCAGGCTGGAGTGCAATGGTGCGATCTCATTTCACTGCAATCTCCGCCTCCTGGGCTCAAGTAATTCTCCTGCCTCAGCCTCCCGAGTACCTGGGACTACAGGCGTGCGCCACCACGCCCAGCTAATTTTTGTATCTTTAGTAGAGACGGGGTTTCACCATGTTGACCAGGATGGTCTCGATCTCTTGACCTCATGATCCACCTGCCTCGGCCTTCCAAAGTGCTGGGATTATTGGTGTGAGCCACCACGCCCAGCCAACCACCTTTTTTTAGATTGATTCCATATCTTGGCTATTGTGGACAGTGCTGCAATGAAAATGGACTTGCAGATATTTCTTCAACACTCTGATTTCATTTTCTTTGCATATATACGAAGAAATGGGATCATTCTCATTAATTTTAATCTTTAGCAAAATATTAAACCCTTAGTCTAATAAGTTATTGAAAGCAGTGTTACATTATTTAAAAGAATGGACACTTGTTCTCCTAAGAATCTTCTGATTCTCCACTGACTTTCTTTAAGGTCCTAAAGAGTCACTGGATTTTATTGCTGCATAGTCAGAGGAAAGTATTGGATAAAATCAGAAGAACAGAGTTGGTTCTATTTTTGCCAGACTTTTTGGGCACTTCACACAAATCAAGTAATTTCTCTGGATCTCAGTTACTTCATAAAGATATCTGACAACAGGATTTCCAAGATCTTCATAATCAAATATGCATAATCAAATTTTAGTATTGTGTTGTTTCAGACAGGCTCACTTTCTTCCAGCTTCAAGTCCTTTACAAGTTCTATTCCCTTTCCCCTTTGTTTGAACTGCTTTTCTCCACAATTTCAGGGCTGTTTTTATCTTACTTACAGATTTCATCACAAATGTCACCTCTTCAAAGAAGATGCTTTTGATGGACCTCGTCCTCTAATCATTCTCTACCCCGTTAACTTGTTGTATTTTCTCCATGGAGTTTATCACTGTCTAATATCTCATTTACTTATTTAACCTGTTTATTATCCGTTTCACTAGCTATAAAGTAAGCTTCATGAAAGTGGGAATCTTGTCTGTCTTATTCCTCTTTGTATCCCAAAACTTAGAACAGTGATAGACACATCATATTACACAAAAATGTGTTTAATCATCCATCAATCATGGTGAACCAAACTCTAAAGGGTGAGCCTTGAGATTGTGTAATTATCACCTTAGGAGGGTCATAATCACATATCAAAGAGTACATGTCAAACACATGTTCCATTGTAAAGATCTAATATACCAAGGAAAATAAGAAAAAGAGAAATATAATAAGAACAAAGATTTTTTTAAATTAGCAGACTTTAATATGTCAAGATAATATCTGGGCAGGTACATGCTCAAAAGCTATGAAATTTTTATGGTATGTTGAGTGAATATGTATGCTTTCTTCAAATTCTGGAAAACCATAATAAGGGAGTTATTTTTAAAGGAACGGAGAAAAGTAACAAAAGAAAATTAAATGTCTTCCATTATCCAAGCCAAGATATCAGAGATTTTACATATAAAATATAAATATAGTCTCAGTTTTCCAGGGCAATAAGAATTTGGGACTTGGGCTGGACCTTGCTGTAACAGACAAAATGGAAATAAACT